CACAGCAATTGCAGAAACATATTAGTTCTATTTCCACTAAATCATTTGTCTCTTTTCTATAGATAATTCTTACTGCTTGGATTCTCAGACGCAGAGCCGAAATTGTATTGAGCAAGCCTTGAAGCCAGATCCATCATTTCATCTTCATCAACCTCCTCCTGCTTTTTCAATAAAAACTTATGGTTTGATTTGGTTTTTCATCACAAAGAAAGAAAGAAACAATCTGATTTTCCCTCCTTGTAAAATGGATTTTCCTATCAGTTAATACTCTCACCTTTGCAGCTGGAGGAGGAGGAGGAGCCTTCTTTTTCCCTCCTTGTCTACCTTTCGGTTTCGCCACTTCCACTACATTGTTATCTTTAAGAATCACAAGAACAGATTTTTAGATCCATACAAGAAACACACAAAACACGCAATGACTGATTCACTGGCTTGAGAGTGTACGGTATTAACCTGTGTCCATTGCTGAATTAGTGGATGCTGGTTTCTTCTTTGTTGCTGGTTGTTTCTTTGGGGCTTGTTTTCGACCATTTGCTGGGTTTCCGGCAGCAGCCCTGAGTTTCTTCACTGCTTTCTTTCTCGCTTCTTCGGCTTGAGCATCAGCCAAATCTAGATTCTGCAACACAACAAGGACAGAGATGACAAATTGGTAATTTGCGTAAGTCAACTAATGGAAAAAGGTTATGAATCCGTACGTCAAGTTCAACTTCAAGTGACTCGAGATCTTTGAGCCAGAGAGACCTAGGCGTAGCTTTCTTCAGGTCTTCAACTTCTTCCTTCATTTTATCTCTGTCTGCAAGTAACTGATTGACTTTCTCCAGAGTCAACGTTGCAATAGCCAGTGACAGTAGATAGTCATACTCTGAGCCAGGTATAAACGTGGAGCTTGGAGCAGGAGCATCTGAGCTTTCTTCAGCTTCTTCAGTTGCGTCGATTGCTCCAGCAACTGCCGCTTCTACGGGCTTGGACTTCTTCGGGAATGGGGTAAACCCTCTCTGTTTCAACTCTTCAACAAGATCAGCTTTCTTCCTATTGTTCACTATGATCTCTCCACTCACAACTCCAAGAATAAACTTCACTTTGTTTTCTAGTTTCAGCAGCTCCAGTTCCAGATTCTCCAACATTATTTTCTGTATACATCAGACAGTTATCATTGTTATAAATCTCTAAAATCTCTAAAAGACTTGAAGTATAAGATTTTTTTCTAACCTTTCGCTTCTCGTAGTATTGAAGCCTGAGGTTGAAGAACTCCTCCAGGACTGCAAGGTGATGTGATGGGATGTAAAGTTTAGTATAACTTGTGGAGAAGGAAAAAAGCAGAATGAGAAATATATGTGATCTCTGCTTACTTTGTTCTGGAGTCTCATATTTCTTTATCACACCATGCTCATCAAAGAGATGCATATTGGTTGTACCGATAGTTGTGGTGAGTTTGAATGTTTTCAGAAAGCCCTCTTGTCGAGCCACCATCATGTTCTCTTCACTCAGTGTAATCTCCATATTCACTGATGTGTCGTCATTGTACTCCTTAAGAAGCTAC